ACTATTATACACCAAGTGGGGTATTCCAGGAATAGTGTATTCAGAGCAGCAGGAGATCTCTGTGGGTCCTGCAGATGGCCAGGAGTTGTCCCTGCTGAGCATTTCTCCTCTGTTCATGCTGTTTGCTCCAATTACCATCCTGGTGTTGTACCTGCTCAGTGCTCTTTCTCCTCCCAGGCTGTTTGCCCTAATTCATGTGCCCTAACTTCCCACCTCCCCACCAGCAATAGCTGTCAGTAACCCAGTTGCCCAATATTTCAATCTCCATGGCAACCTGGTGAATGGGAATCATCAAGCTCTTCTGTAAAGTGATTTAAAATGAATTATACAGCTGTGATCTCTTTGCTATATTACCTCAGCCCTGAGGTGACACAAAATGAACACAGAGACCCCTCTACTTTGCATACACTTTCTTCCTACAATCATGCACTAATATGTGAAGATGGGCTCCATTGCAGTGAATGATAGCATGAAAACCTATATTCTGCATGGCATTATAAGCTTTTAATTATTAGGCAGCAATTTAATGAAACCAAGAAAAATAAAAGACAATTTTCACCTGGGTTTGCTTCATAGAGGTTAATTGAAATGAAGAAACAAGTAAATATAAAAATTAAAAAAATCTTCTTAGGCTCTTAGATTTAAAAAATGGGCACCAATTCAACAGTGTGACAAACATTTAGACTTTTTATTAATGCGTCCCTCTGTATTTACTGAGAGTATAAAAAAGGGCTTCCTAAAAACAAACACTAAAGAAATCACTAAAAACACTTTATTAAAAACCAGCACACTCAGATAAAACACTTGCACTGATTCTGAGTTGCTGTCCTATTGTACATTGTTTGCTGAGTATTGATTCATTTCTCTCCCAGTATATCATCACTAATAAAGGCGCCTGGTGCTTGCGACCAGAAGTATATCCATTAGCACTGCTATAATGGCTGGTTTAAAAAAAAAAAAGTGATGTTAATTAAAAGGCATGATTGCATAATGTAGTTTCAAACTTGCTAATCTATAACGTCAATTATGAAAATAGCAGATTTAACAGGCTGAGAAATGTTTACTTTGAACTCAGTCCTCCAATCTAAAACTTATTTTCTGCCATATTGACCAAAATGTGGATTTATAGGAAAGCAGGGAAGAATGTTGGCCTCTAATTTCATATGAAATACAATGATAATGGCTAATACCCAGCATAAATTCATACACATGAACTATTTTATCTGTTAAGCATTCATAATTCTGTTTAGCCACTCTTGTGATTCATGCAATTCTGGCACACCACACAGATTGGTGACAATCTTATTTGTCTTTTTCTGTTATCAAGTTTCAGTGCAATCTAATTACCCATTGGAAAGAAAATCCACAACATCACAAATGTCTAGTTAGCAGCCGGCTACACAGGAAGCTGCAATAAAATAGATAAATAATACAGTCCTCTTCCTGACAGTGTAGTGTGGCAAGATGAGCAGGGATTTTTTTTCCCAGAGAATAGGTACAGGATCTCCCCTCTTCTGAGTCACATCTTATCCCCACTCCTACTCACCTCCCAATACTGCGTCTTTTTGAAATACAGAGCCAAGTATCATATTGTGATGCTAAGTGATTTGTATGGAATTCATTAATGAATTCAAATCAGTAAAATAGACCCTCCCCAGCAACAATAAATGCCCCCCACGACAACAGACCCACCCAACAACAATATATCCCCAGCAGCAATAACAGACCAACCAACAGCCAGCACCAATAGACCTCTCCCTCACAGTAGATCCCTCCCAGAAACAATTGGCCACCCAGCAATATAAGACTCCTCCCCGCCAGCAACAATAGATTTCACACCAGCAACAGTAGGCCACCCCAGCAACCATAGAGCCCCACTCAAAAATTGATCCCCTCCAGTGACAATAGATCCCCCAGCAAGCAGTATCAGTAGACCCTCCAGCACACCCCAGCACTTCTTGCCAGTACATACATTCAGTACCGGAGGTGCTAGAACAGCGTTCCCCCACATTTCTGCTGAAAAAAAGCCCTGAAGAGGAGTGCAGGCCACAAGGCTGGCTAAACAAAATGACTAGTCATTTGGCATGTAAAAATGAATGTATATGTATTTAAACCATTTTCTTAGCATTTTTCAGAGAGTTCTACTACTACTACTACTACTACTACATTTTTGCTTTAGGAGTTGTCTATTTGACAACCACTGTACTTTTGTAGGAAGAGGCTGCAAAGAACACTCAGACTCCCTGCAGTTCAAGGTTGGCTTCCTATTTTCTTTCTGCAAGCTTATGACTGATGGACCATGATGCAATTGCATTATATACCCCATATTGTTCATTCTATTCATGGTAATCACTTGATTCTGGTGGAAGGAATTCAGCAATAGAAGTCATGTTATTTCTCTTATTACAGTTTTAAATATAGTAGTTAAATATATAAACCTTTCCACCAGCCTCCTTTGTTACCTTACAGTTTGCTATTCCATTTCTACAAGTGAAAACTTTTAGCCAAGTCCACTAACAACTATCCCGCAGTTTATACAAAAAATATAAAAGTATAACCTGAAAAATAACAGCTGAAGCAGTCAAGTTTGGAAATTACAGGAATAAGGAATAAAAATGTGGCTGAATCAGAGGTTTGGAAGGGTAATGAAAACCATAAAAAGAGAAGCTGATTGATTAAGGGCTAGATGGAAAATATTTAAGGGTGAAAGCCAAAAATAAAAAAATGAACTGATGTGAATAGACTGCAGATGTAGAATAAGTTTGAACTTGATGTTGCGTGATATAGCTTCTCAGCTATGGTGTTTCTTGACCATCAAATGTCATTATGCCTAGTACCATAATATATCAGTGTACCTACTTACCATAATATAGAGGATGACACAGAGTTCTGCTACATTTGTGTCCTAGGTCTTCCAGCAATAAAATGAGATCAGGGGCTTGGAAACATTCATCATAGTATTTTTAAACATTATAACATTCTAGGTAGGTCAAAGCTTGTTAGAGCTAACAACTATCTGCATTCCTACATTATTTTACACAAAGGGTTCTGGTATAATTGTATACATCATGTTATAATTATGAACTACCTAGTGAGGGCACACATACTTTGCAGGTGAAGAGGTTAAAGCAAACAATGCCATTCCTTTTGCAATTGCATCTAACAGTACCTGTAGGTAGAGTCTGTTGTAAGCTGTTTATTGTTCCCTCTTATGTCACAGCTCTCTAGCAATCCTTTGATATCAGCTGTGAAAACTCAGACTGGAAAATAGACTTTTAAAGGTAAAATCAATATTTAAATAGTTTTTTGGATTCAATGAAAAGGACTGGAGAGATGAAGGAAGCTAATGTGAAAGTTGATTTTTACACTGGGCTTTCACAGCTGTTATGTAAGAAACACTAGAGAACTGTGATAAGAGAAAGAGCAACAAAAAGCTTGCAGCATCTATACATATATACTGTATGATGGGATAGCAAGAGGAATGGCATAAGTCCCTTTAAGTTTTCCATTCAGCACAGTATTGATCATCCTTTATATGTTCCACAAAATGCTAATACCCTTCTGTGGATTTATTAATATAATCTTGGTCTCTCAATTTCTCTAGAGACTTTATGCCAATTAAGGACTTCACAACCTCATGCCCACAGCATCCAGATTTTCACAACAGCTGTTAAGGTTCCACTTTTTAAAATTATTAGCCTTTCAACTCTGTATGTCAAACAACAAAATAGAAAAATTCCCAGCTGTAACTTGCCAGCCAGCCTGCAAACAAACCAAATTAACCTGTCTAACAGTATGCGTTAAAACCAGGGGATTAGTTAGCACACAGTTGCAAATACATGCATAAGCTACAGAGCCTCGTCACGGCACCCCAGTATTCTGTAGTTCCTAACTCTCCAATTTTAAGAGCCCCCATAGTAGAGGCAAATGTATTTAATGGATAGACCAAGGGCAGATGGACCTGAGGGAGCCCACACCTCCTTAAAGGTACAGGAGCGCACTGGATACCCAGCATGTAGCACAATGGCAGCTAAGGTGTCCAGTGCACCCCTTCACCAACAATTCAACAGTACAACAAATGGCCACTGCCCCAGTCTATAACTGGCCTTCAAAGCAAGGAGCACATGGAAGGGTGGCACATGTCAAACACAACTTAAGCTACAGAGCCTCATCATGGCACCCCAGTATTCTGCAGTTCCTGACTCTCCAATTTTAAGAGCCCCCATAGTAGAGGCACATGTATTTAATGTATCCCTCATTCTGCTACCCTAGCTTCCTTTCGCCTTCAACCACCATATTCACTGCATTGTTCCCCAGTTACTCATATATTCTGTTTCATTTAAAATATAAGGGACCAACACAGTCATTTGTTATCATAAGAAAATGTTCTTTAACTGCTTCCACGCTGACCTATAGCAGAAATACTGCTACAGGGCGGCATGGGTGCACAAAATCATGTATATATACATGATTTTGCAGTTCCAGGTAGGGGGCACGCCATTTGCGGCCTTGCCTCTCAATCACCGGGTCCCGGCCAGTGATTCCCCACCAGCATCCGGTGATATCCGAGTATTACCGTTGGGGGAGAGACCTGTGTATAAACAACACAGATCTCTCTCCTGTCAGCTCCTGCACACTGTTTAACCAGTAGGTTACGTACAAAGCAGTGTGCTTACAGTGTAAAGCACACACACTGCCCACTGTAAAACAGCACACAGTACACAGTTAATCCTTTGATCACCCCAGATGTTAACCCCTTCCTGCCCAGTGCCACTAGTACAGTGTCAGTGCTTTTTTATTAACACTGATCACTGTAGTGGTGTCACTGGGGATGTCAGTAACACCAGGTCAGTTCCCCCCAGTGTTATAATGCCCACCGCAGTCCCACAGTCCTGCTATGAGTCGCTGATCGCCGCCATTACAATTGCGTGGTCATGCAACAATGTACTCATATGAAATTTTTTTAATTTTTTTTGTGACAGATAGAGCTTTCTTTTGGTTTTTTTTTTCTTAAACAAACCAAAAACCACTGAAAAGTTTGAAAAAAAAAATTTTTTTTCTTAGTTTTTGTTATAAAATTTTGTAAATAAGTGATTTTTCTCCTTCACTGATGTGCGCTAATGAGGCTGCAGTAATGGGCACTGATAGGCTGCACTGATGGACACTGATAGGTGGCACTGATGGGCACTGATGAGGAGGCACTGGTAGGTGGCACTGATGGGCATTGACAGGCATCACTGATGGGCACTGAAAGGCAGCACTGATATATGGCACTGACTGGCACTGACAGGAGGCACTGATATGTGGCACTGTTAGGTGGCACTGACTGGCACTGTTAGGCGGCACTGATGGGCACTGATAGGCGGCACTGATGCACACTGATAGGTGGCACTGACTGGCACTGATAGGTGGCACTGATTGACAGTACTGATAGGTGGCACTGATTGGCAGTACTGATAGGTGGCACTGATTGGCACTGATGGGTGACACTGAAAGGCAGCTCAGATGGGCACTGATATGTGGCATTGATGTGCACTGGTAGGCACTGATATGTGGCATTGATGTGGCACTGATGGACACTGACAGGTGGCACTTCTGGGGCCACACTGATCATCAGGGCGCACTGATCATCAGTGCCCTGATGATCAGTGTACATGTCCCCTCCGCGGAATTCCGGTTTCCGTCTCTCCTCTTAAGCTGTCAGCGTGACAGCTCGAGAGGACAGAAATGCCAATAACTGGCATTTCCCTGTTTACATGTGATCAGCTGTGATTGGACACAGCTGATCACATGACCGAGCCGACGTCTTCGGCTCTTTCAGTGGATCGGTGATCCGCTATGTCCGATGGACACAGCGCACCGCCGATCACCGCACTGCGTGCTCCCGAAGCCGCGCATGCGTGGTGAGAATGGGAGGATGTCATACAACGTCCTATCAGAACGAGAGAACCACCTTTGCGCCCGTCATTGGACTATATGGCAGGTGGGAGGTGGTTAAATTGGACTCACCTGCCAATGTAATTATCACATGTGTCCGAGATTGTTTTCAGTGATCAAAAGTGCCCTGAGACACAATGCCATCCATGAGTTAAACTGAAGAACAAAATATTTAATCTTTGTGACACTTAAATAGAATTTGCATAATCATTTGGAACAGGGTGTATACAGAGAATTCTATATAGAGGTTAGGGTACGCAGTGATCATATAAAGGCATTTGGGGAACAATCAAACACAAATATAACAAGATCAACAGACATTGGACAAACCAAAACTGGCAGACACAAGATTCACATGAAGGTGGAGATGAACCAGGAAATTTCAGGAAGATGATCCCCTTTCTTAAGTCCCGCCCCAAAATGTTGCTAGTCCTTCTCCCACTATATCTTGTGTCCACCATCATCTTGCTTTGGTTTTTTTCTCTCATAGTTACAGCACCATATTACTACTTGCTACCCGATCTGTTTTTAATGCTTTTCCAGAGAGCAAACCTTACTTTAATCATGCTTTGAAGTTTTTATCCACAACCTATCTTTCCATCAATGAAAGCATCTTTATGGTTTGTTTTATCTAACAAAGACACACATGCCCGCAGGTTTATTATACTTGGAAGATAATGCTCTGCTACAGGAAGGTTAGGGTTGTTTAGCACTAGGTGGTATGTTGGTGCATCACTATGCTACAATAAACTGAGGATGATTTTTTTAAGGTGAGCAGTTTGCTGTTTGTTTTTTCTTTGATTTTTTGGACTGCAGTCAAGGTTTATTATATTGCATGGATCATTTGTGCTAGGCATAGGTGAGGTTTACAAACGGTCACATCAAGGGACCTTAGCTCACATTTTACACTAGAACCCAGGGAGATTAGCTATGCACCAGAAAATAGGTTTTTGGTAACCGAAGCCTTTCTCTGCCTTCTAAGGTTAATTGAAATGTAGTTCTCTGGCTTCACAAGAGAAGACTACATACTGTACAGCTCTCCTTCGTGTTGTTGGTACTTTCAGTGGTAACAACTAGAAGAGGAGATGGTGGAGTGCAAACAGAAAAAGAATTGTTGCAAATGTCAAATTAAATTACTCCTACATCCATTACATATACATCCTTCTGTTGAAAGTTCCTAAAAGATGTAGTTGGGGGTCATCCCTGTGGTTAAAATTTACATCTTCATGTTCTTAAAAAGCCCTATAAAAAGATGGGTATAGGTTACTTTTTTCGCTGAACAAAATGACATCAATGTGTTCCCCTTATTCTGAAACAGTTAATTGTACAAAACCTTTTATTAATCTATTTAATCTCTTATTTCCTAAATGAAAATCTTTGTAAGGGCCCTAGGTCCATTATGATTCATGCAGTCTGCAGCCTTGTGCTCTTGCTTTCCCACAGGTCAAATCCACAATGGTTTTTTTAATATACTTGCAATTTTATCCCTCAGAATAAAAGGAAGACTACATCAATACATACAGGCAAATAAATACTGCATTCGTTTCAGTAATTCTCTGATCTTCACTCCCTTCCACTACTTGATGGATTGTCCCGGAGCTGGAATTATAAACATGCAATTTCTGCCCCACTACACACGGCAGCCTTTGGAACAAAAAAGGAAACGGGAACATTATTTATTTACGTACATATGTCTCACATATCTCATGATTTATTTCACTTTATATTTGGTAATGGTATGGAAAACAAGGATATCTGAGAAGCAATCATGTACTATTTAGAGGAGTGGAGCCAAATGGTCTGTGTGCAGGTGGTAACAATATGTCTTTGTACCAAGTGCAATTATTTTTTCTTATTAATATATACGGCATTTTGCTACACAGAAACATGCCTTACTTCTGTTTGTTAGAGTAAAACTGTCATGCAACACTGAAGCCTTTACCATTAACACTACATTTTGAGCAGCAGCTGAGAAGTAATGTATAGTTACTGTCACATATACAAACATATTTTTTGTGAGAACTGTCAGCAGTGGATTCCTACTCCAATGTATGAAATGTTACTGCATTATGTAAATTATCCTCCAAAATAGGCATACTAATGTTAAATGACAAAGAACCATTAAAAAACGTATCACATGTCAATGCCTCATGCTGGGAAATCACTATAACTTTGGACTGAAAAAGTGCACAGAATTATATTTTGACTTTGATACATAGTTTAAAAACATTCTTCTACTTACAGAATATTCAGTTTCTCTTCCTGTTAAATTGGCCATATGGGCAGATGTTATGCAATTCAGTAAATTGTGCAAATTTTTGCTATGTATGGTGTATGAATAATCAAGTTAGCAGACAAGCTGCTGCACTGCAGGCCATACAGGTTGGAGTTTTTTAACTGATTTTCAGTAGAGATCACCTAGCATGGTAGCATGCATTGTTGCCCTATAGGCAGTACAACCAAACAAATTATGGCAAAGTGATCACAAAACATTCTACTAATCCAGTGTGAAGCACAGTAAGGCCTTCAGGTTTCTGCATGTATTACTTCTATAGTATATGAATTTAAAAAAAAATTAATTTTAGTATGGTGGGTAGAGTCATGCTTTAAATGCAGTCATGGGAAAAAGCCTAACCAGCAACCAATAGCTGATGTATGTTGGTTCACATTAGAGTCACAACTCATTTAGTCCTGAACCAAAGGTTGAGGTCAAGTGCTATGAGACTTAGGCCCGAAGTGCACTGTAGCTCGTGTCCCTTCCATGCTGGAACAGCAGCGCATAAATCTAAGCACCTCATTTTAATGCTCAAGCTCTTTGTATAGGGCAATAGAAGGTAGTTTCATTTTTATTTTCTTTCAGCATGGCAGTTCTGCCCTCTCTCTAAAAGCCCAAATGTATTATGAGAAAAAAAGAAACAAATTTTCTTTGGAACAGCTAAATATGGCTCCAGATATTTGGGGGAGGTAATGTTACACAAGCAAATGCATAATTTTAACACTGATAGTTTAGAGGCCTGATATGGAGACTTTGTTTGTTTAACCTCCCTGGCGGTATTCCCGAGTGTAGTTCGGGGTAAAGTTTCAGTACCACAAGCGGTAACCCTGAGCTACACTCGGGCTTACCATGCGGCGCTGCTCCGGGATCCCTCGATCACTTACCTTGTCCTGCGCTCCCGTGATGTCCCTCCTGCAGTGTTCCGGCAATGTAATCTGGCAGATGCCGGCATCTGTCATCTGGGTTCCGTCCCCTGCGAGTGTCGGGACGTATGGGGGACAGAACAGCGGGAAATTTGAAAATGCCAAAAAGTGACATTCACTAAAATCACATAGTAAAACATTACTGTATCAAACCATTTCACATACATTTTGTCCCTAGTGCTTTGTCCTGCGCCCTGCCTGCATTTTTACTGTTCTTTCTGCCTGGAAACTGAGAAACGTCCATGGCATCCAAAAAGCGTCCCTTTAGGTCAAAAGCGGTTTTAGACCAGCTAGAAAACAGCGATAGTAAATCAGAACCATTTGCAGAATTGAGTGATGATTCGTGGGGAAATTCGTCATCAGACACTGAAAACGATTTTGCGACTTTGCTCAGTGATGTGCAAACTTGGCGCTATATTTCAAATTTCAGTGTTTTTGGTTTGATTATATTATTGAATTAAATTTTTATTATTATATTATTATTTTTTATTATTATTTATTAAATTATAATTTATGATTTCGTGTTTCAGTTTTCAAGTTTTATCCTACCCGGGATGTTTACTAGACTCTTATTCGGACATCCCCGGTGACACCAATACAGTGATCAGTGCTAATAGAAAGCACTGACACTGTACTAATGACACTGGGCAGGAAGGGGTTAACATCTGGGTCGAGCAAAGGGTTAACTGTGTGCTGTGTGTGTTTTATTGTGTGCTGTGTGTGTGCTTTACTGTGTAAGTGCATTGCTTTGTATTGCTCTGCTATGCAGAGCAATACAAAGAAATGTGCTGGAGCTAATAGGGGAGAGATCTGTATTGATTACATACAGGTCTCTCCCCCTTCGGTGATGCACAGTGTTCGCCAAATGCCAGTGTGGAATCACTGGCCGGGACCCGGTGATCGACAGGTGAAGCCACCAATGGCGGCGCAGGTAGAGCATCTCACGCGTTCCCCCTTACCCCTGCCACCCTGTAACAGTATTTCTGCTATAGGGCGGTGGGAAAGCGTTTAACTAGTTTTTCAGGCAAAAATTGAATTATTGGAGATTCTGATATATACGAATCTCTAATGGATGTAGTAACGAATGTCAACAAATCCAAAAAACCATTATAACAAAATGGACAAATGCATTTGTTTCATTCGCATGAAGTCACATGATGCAATAGTAGTTGCTTATGATGAAATGAATTACATTTTCAATTTTCAAACTTGTTTGATCATTTGGATTCAGATATAATGGATCCAAATGGATAGATTGGATCCAAATTTTGTCCCATTCATTAATTTGGATGCATATGAAGCAAGTTGATATTGTCCAATCAGCTCAAGCCATTTCTCTTGGTGGGTAGAATCCTTCTGGTTCGAATCCATACAATTCAATAATATATTGAATATATAGCAATCATCTGGAAAAAATATTACATTTCTTTTTAATCCACTTGGACAAAAAAATATACAAAGCAAATGCCGAAGATACAAAATGAATCCAGAAAACAAATTGGCTCAACATAACAAGAAACAAAATTTTTCAATAAATTAATGCATCCAAAATGAAATTAAATGAAAATTTCCAGTGTGCACATGCCTAATCACAACTTATAGATGTCCAGAACCAGTCCTCTTCCAGGTCAATGATCAGAATTATCCATTGCACTTCCTGGGACCACAGGGGGTCGTGGGCCCCTGGGTGGGCTTCACCATGCTAGTCTGCAGTTACAGTACAATGATGAACAGAAAGGCACTGGAATAATTAAGTCAGCAATGCTCTTTGCATCATTTAGGCCCATCACCATAGAATAGGTGAAGAGAGAAAGAGGACCCTGTGTGTCACGTGACCAGCTTGAGGACATCTGAAACAAAGTGTAGGTGTAAAGAAAAATGTAAAAAATACATGTGCGGGAGCATCCAAGGTAGGTAAAAGCTACATGTGGTGACAAAGGGTGAATTTGGGCTTTAAATTGTGTTTATTTTGCCTGGAGTTCAGCTTTTTACCAGGCACTATAAAATAATAAATGAACAGCTCTGCATTTCTAAACAGTGTCACCTTAAATAATAGTTATATTTATCTTATAACAGTAAAATAGCCACATTTATGAGCCTCGCAACATTCACACACGAAAACTTTTCTTTTTGTAGTATTTTCTTGTATACTGGCCAATTAAATTAAAACTTTTGTTGCAGATATTCACTCTCATTCCTTACGGTACAATATATCAGAGCAGTACCTAGCAAGTTTTTATAATACATTTTTTTACTATGGTTTCTCAGGCTTATTGTGTAATCATGATCTCATTAGTTCATGCAGTTAGAATCAGTGTATGGCTTAGTAAGTGCTAAACAATACATTTTTTACAAAGTGAAGGTTTTAATGGGATTTTGAAGACCTACTCGCTGATACTTGTTTAATGCAGTGTCTTCCTCTAGGGAAAGAAAAAAAAGACCAAAAATCTCAGGACAGACAGCAAGACAGAAATATTTCTCAAACACCTTTTCTTTATCACTGCCAGCTAATGGGTGGTAATGAGAAACTATAATGAAAGTGAGATGAAGATTTACTTGATACAGCGCATTCACTTTAATTAGTATGGCAGTTTTGGAGGTTTTTCTCAGGCAGAGGTGTTAGTCACATCTAGATTGAAGCCTCCGGTTTCTGGGGAATATTTACAAGTAAGATTAATGTTATCAGCTGGGAGAATTAGTATTTGTTATATGAAGAGTAAAAATCAGCTATAGCACAGTAAATTTTGAATCCGTCTTCAGCACATCCTGCGTTAATTGTATCTTCTGGAAACAAATTATTATTCTAGATGGGAATTAGAAGATAAAAATTAAAAAGTATCAATGAATCGAACATTAGTAATGTAAATTGATAATACTGTAAATATAAGCAAGGTTGGATTAAGTGATATGCCTTTATAGGCCACTTTATTACCTCCAATGGACCACAGATCTATATGACTGCAGAAATCTATGCACGCCATATAAATTTAATAAAATATATATTTTTTTATAATTACAGGCTTATAGTGGCCATATACAGCCTGTTCTGCCATACCAATGAAGCAGGCTGAACAACTGTTTCTGATGATGGGTGGGAACAGGCCTGTGTATGGGCTTAGTAAAGGATGGCAATCCTTTATGAATGAAAACAACTTAACAAGTTTGTCAATTCTTGTGCTCCACTTTTTGTTATCATCTGGAGAGGGAAAAACATTACTTTTAGTACTCATGGTGGAACTCAAGATGTCTTAAAGCTTGTTGTATTTCATGAGATACTTCTCTGTTTTTGATAGCTTTATATAAGAAAAAATTGTGATAACATAATTGCCAAAAGGGCTTTTTGTCACTTTAACCCCTGGATTCTTTGAGCTTCAGCCGAGCCTGTATGTACCCACAAATCTGGGTATGCTTTAGTAAATTATAGTCAAAGAAAAACTGTATTCCCTTTATGTTCACTTAATTTATGAAATGAAATAAATTAACATGCATCTCCACAGCACTAATGAATAAAATAAATTGCATACAGCATGTAATTCTTTTATATAATACTTATTATCCTACAGTACTAATAAAGTGCTCCATATATAAAGTGCTGTAAACTAAAGTGCTGCAAAATAAAGTGCTGCAAAATATAGTGTCCAGTGCTAAAATGTCCACCAGGGTGCCTACTACTGTGTTCCTTTAAATCTTCATGAATACATTATCCACAACAATTCCTCCTGGTGTAAAACACTTAACCTGTGTGACAGCAGCTTCACTAATGAGAACTCACTGGATTCCCATGACCCCTTTAAAAACAGTGGGTCATCAAGCACTTTTAACCACACAAGGGAAGTCTGCCAGGAACAGTGCAGAAATCTCTCTCCTTACTCTTCTCACCACATGAGCCAAGTGCCACAGGAGTAAAGAAACTTATTTAGTGTTAAATCCTTTTATTAAAAAATACTGCAATTAAAAAAATGTATATATACTCACTTTTGTTTGTGCATACCATTAGGGAAAACAGTCATGCTATGCCGGAGGCTGGTTCCACCAGCCGTGGTGCAAGCATGGCTCTCCCTCCCGGAGCTTCTAGGTGTACCTCATTGCTTCCCAGTATATGTTAAGGGATGCTGTCACTTTCTGTATCTCCTTTCTAATGCATTTTGTCATAATGATGTCTTCAGAAGGCATTTACATTTTGACATGATTTATCTGGGAGAAAGTGACTGAATAATTCCAGAAGAGAATGGCTAAAGTTTGAGGTTTCCAGAAAACATTATACTATCTTTTTAGAAGTGAAAGCGTGAGTAAACTGACCACGTACTGACCTGTTCATCTCACACTATAGGCTGGTTTCTTTGTGATTCAATTCTCTACATAGACTGTAGAGTCTTTTTAACATCTCCTTGTCCCCATCCTGACATTATGGAGCTACTTTGCAGCATTGCACTTATGTGGCATAAAACACTCTCTCCCCCCCATGGAAATCTGTGAACAAGCTTGTCCTCCAGACTAACTCTTTAAACATGTGAATGCAAGTATAAAATGTATAATGTTTGCGTGATCTAGTGAGTGATCTTTCTGGATTGGGAACACATGAGTATAAGAATGGGAGTGCAGCTGGGGAACGAGGGTTAATATATAATCAGTTACAGCTACACTTCACACAGTAGTAAAAGGCATTGATTAAAATACATTTCTGTAGCCATACTGTCAACTTTTGCATAGCCTGAGGGTGTGATACACCAGCCTCATAGAGACCATTTGTATCTAGCCAAAACAAAGCTTGAGCTTTAAGTACGGTTAAACTTTGGCTGTTGGGGCATTCATCCTAATACCAGTTTTTTTCCTACAAATAAATTTAATGTACAGTAGCAGCATAAATACTGCTAATTAATATGACAGCTTCTTTGCTGTCAATAGTTGCTAAGAAAACAGCAGATGCTGGCAGTCACTGCATCCTTAGCATCCAGTGACGTCACCTGGCCCCATTCATTTACTGGCCAGAAATCCCTGGTCATGTAAACATAGGATTGGTGATAGCCTGACATTACTGTTTGCCTCAACTACATGTACCCAGGGGCGGACTGACAACTCATGGGGCAATAGGGGATCATGGGGCCCCTGTGTCCTTGCCCAAACTCAAAAAAGCCTATGAAAAAGGTACCAGGGGCATCTCATGGGGCCCCCTACTGACCCCGGGCCCTCGGGCAGTGCCCGAGTTTCCAAATGGTCAGTCCGCCCCTGCATGTACCCCTGCATGTAACCAAACCAAGCTGTGGCAATTCATTTTATTATTTGCTGCAGCAAAACCTTGCGCATGTATTTTACAAAATAGCTTAGCACATTTCTCAAGGATACAGTATTTTCAGTAGGAATACACAAGCTGTGTGTGTCAGTGACACTAGCACTGCATAAGGAGTTGATAAGTGCTTGAAGAAAATGTTTTCCTTTGGTTTTATTTATTGCAGAATTACATGCTTAAGTGATTTTTACACAATGGAAGTTAATATTTCTCCAAAGCCCTCAAACCCCTAAATGGTTGTCAAGGTCTTTATTATTATGAGTGGGTTACTGGCTATACAACTATGCATTACAGCATGCTTTTCTTTCATTCTTTTTTTTTGTTTTCTTTTTTCAAAGTGTTTACACTAAATAACCTCCAATATGAGGTTTTTTAGGCTTTTTTTTTAAAAAAAAAGAAAGAATAAAACAGCTGCATTTTTGTCCCTGTATATGTGTATTAATGTCTCTAAAAGCTAATTCTTTCAAAAACTGACCTTCAGTAATTCTAGCACATTCCATTTTTCACTGTTGTTCTATTGCTGATACATTGTTGTATTTGAGTGCTTTATCTATTAGATTTGAAAAGGTTGTTCATGCTTAATATTTACCAAATATGTATGTGCTTTCGTTAAACTTTGACCTGGCCTGTATTTGCTTTTTTCAATTATTTTATTTGCAGAATTTTCTGATGTATGACCAGATATCTCAAGCCCTTTGCATACAATCAAAAATTACTTCAGATGTTGTGTATGCTTAAAATATTGTATACACATTTTTAATGTAAACTTATGTATATTGAAAAGTATATTTGAGGACTGACATATAAAAAACAATTTGTTGAAAAAAGATGTGTACTTTTCCAAACTTACCAAACTTGGAGTTCAGTAGAATCTTGTTATCCCAAGACAAAAAAACTAAGCTTTGTTAGCATTAGGGTTCTTAATTTCTCTGTAGATCATCACTGGATTCCACAGGTATTTTGCCTACTGTAAGAAAGTAATGAGAACAAAACAAATGCGCTAGGATTCCGTTGGATGTCAAAAAAACATATCAGCTAGCACGATAGCATAATACATAGTATAATAAACATCATAAAACTATTGTGCAGCACTAATATAAATTAAAATGTATGTGCACTACAATAGTGCAATGCAAATACACTTTATTGCCAAAAGTATCAGGACACCCCTCCAAATCATTGGATTCAGGTGTTCCAATCACCTCCATGGCCACATGTGTATAAAATCAAGCACATAGGCTTGCAGACTGCTTCTACAAACATTTGTGAAAGAATGGGTCGATCTCAGGAGCTCAGCGTACCCTCATAGGTTTCCACCTGTGCAATAAGTCCATCCATGAAATTTCCTTGCTACTAAAAATTCTGCTTTCAACTGTTAGACATAACAAAGTGTAAGCATCTGGGAACAACAGCAATGAAGTGGTAGGCCACGTGCAATGACAGAGCAGGGTCTGTCCAAACTTTGACCTCCAAACTTTGTGTGGCCTTCAGATTAGCACAACAACAGTGCATAGAGAGCTTCATGGAATGAGTTTCCATGGCCGAGCAGCTGCATCCAAGCCTTACATCACCAAGTGCAATGAAAAGCATTGGATGCAGTGGTGTAAAGCATGCCACCACTGTACTCTAGAGCAGAGGAGATGTATTCTCTGGAGTCACGAATCACACTTCTTTGTCTGGCAATCCGATGGATGTGTCTGGGTTTGGTGGTTGCCAGGAGAACGGTACTTGCATGACTGCATTGTGCCAAGTGTAAAGTTTGGTGGAGGGGGGATTATGGTGTGGGGTTGTTTTTCAGGGGTTGGGCTTGGTGTCAACATACCCAACATACCCAAACATTTTGGACAATTCCATGCTCCCAACTTTGTGTGAACAGTTTGGGATGGCCCCCTCCTGTTCCAATATGACTGCGCACCAGTTGTACAAAGCAAGGCCCATAAAGGCATGGGCGAGTGAGTTTGGGGTGGAGGAACTTGACTGGCCTGCACAGAGTCCTGACCTCAACCCTATAGAACACCTTTGGGATGAATAAGAGTGGATACTATGAGTCAGGCCTTCTCGTCTAACATCAGTCTGACCTCACAAATGCGCTTCTGAAAGAATGGTTAAACATTCCCATAGACATGCTCCTAAACCTTGTGGACAGCCTTCCCAGAAGAGTTGAAGCTGTAATAGCTGCCAAGGGTGGGACAACTCAATATTGAACCCTACGGACTAAGACTGGGATGCCATTAAAGCTCATCTGCTTGTAAAGGCAGGCTTCCCAATACTTTTGGCAATATAGTGTATATAAAACCTTTATGTGTCACCACAAATTGAAAAAATAAAGGAATCCAAGTGTGAAGCCAAAAGGTTTGAATTCATTGGTTCTTTCATTATGAGGGAAATGACAGATGTGGATACCAAACGCCACCAAAACTTCTTAATGATGAACCACACAGCACCTTGGTGTACAACAAAGGGAGGCTTACCAGAATCATATGATCCCCAATTAAGAGTGATCAACTGTCACTTGTGTATCAATCCAAGATATCCAGCTTTCCTCAAAACCACATATCAAACAATGGTACTGCTGCGTTATATCAGATAACTGTGCATGTATTCTCAGTTGGACATAGTATCATCAAAAAAGAAAAGGGCCGGCTCTCCATAGGGTAATCCAGATTAAAACACGAATTTAATGTGATAAATGCACTTACAATGAAAAGATGTCAATTAGGCACTTCATATCATATAAGCAACTCGTATTCCAGAACTAAGATGGCTGCAGTGGTTTCATTTATGCGTAGTGGCGTGTGCCGTCTCTGCCCTACTAGTTTTGTCAAAGATGGTGTCATCATGGACTTTTTTTTTCTGTGCCCCACTAGAAAGAATTTCATTTTCTGTCTTATAGATTCAGCAAGTGAAAAAAAAATGGTTCCAATGTGGTGGGGTGAAATGTCCTATTAGACAATTGTCACAGGAATAAGTGTCCCTATTGAAGGTTTTTTTGCCCATTGGAAGACCCCCCCCCCCATTCCTGTTCTTGTGACAAGTCAAAACTTTGGATTTTTCTTCACTTTCATTTCCAGTTACATTGGTCATCTAAACTATCGATGAGAGTGAATCTCCTTAAACTGGACACATACAGCAATAACAACCTGACAGGGTATGCCCCTTCACGGTGCTATCCAAATCCTAATTTTTAAAAAAAGTTTTACCTTTGTTATGCTGAAAGCTTTTTTGTCTAATTGCTATTTGTATTCCTGCTAAAGATTCATCCTTACTTCATGTACCAGAGACAATATTGTCCTCAGAACAGTAAAACAGAAAAGGAAACCTTTCAAACAAAACCAAAGACCTCAATTGAAACCTAACAGAAAGTCATAACCTTTCTGCACTTTATCCAAAGCTACAAAAAGTTTGTGTTTTTTAATTTACACTTTAAAAGAACTTCTACCAAACAGTTCAGCATTTTTGTCACTTTGCTGACCATGCCTTACAAGACTGGTGTGAAATGGAAAGAAAACATAGAAACTGGTACAAACACATGTTTTACATTCTCAGTATATACAAGATATAGGGGTCAGTTCACTAACAGTTATCACATGTGATAATAAAAGAGAAAATTCTTCAAAGTAAAATATCGAATTTGAAATAAATATCATAAACTCAATTAATATGTGAGGTGAGGTAGGTACCTAAAATTATTTTGAGATAATGCATTACCAATCCAAGTCAATTCAAGTTAGTAAATTACAAGAAAACAACATATCAGTGTGGAAATGCTATGTTGTTAGCTTGGAAATGTAAATAATTAGTAACATTGCAATAGAGGGGGATCATTTAGTGTGCACTCATACTAGTTTTAACCATGCCAAGGGAAAGGTTCACCCCCTTGGTCCAGTTCATTTGTGTAGTATGAGTTTTTTTGAATGATTGGGAACAGTTAGGTGTACCAGGTAGAGGAGGTAGTCCAGCATTGTAAAACTATAAAAACATTCTTAAGATGCACTCACAAGGGGGACAGTTGAACTGAATTGTGTCCAGGTTTGCTTGTTCCCACTTACCCTGCTGGTCTTCACTCACATTGGGCTATAAGCAAGTGTTCCCTGGACACACTTACTACTTCAAAGACGAATTCTCCTGCGCTCTAGGGCTCAGACAGGTGGCGAACAGATGGAACCAGGCCTGGAGGGATCGTCCACCAATGCATAAAGGGCTGTGCGGCTCCAAAACAAGGCTGGGGAAGCCCAATCAACACTGCAGAATGAAATGAAAAAACGAGAAGCGCACCAACCTTGCGCATTACCTCAGTAACCAAAATTTATTAATTGTAAAAAAGTATATATTTTTTACAATTAATAAATTTTGGTTACTGAGGTAATGCGCAAGGTTGGTGCGCTTCTCGTTTTCATTTCATTCTACACTTACTACTTCACCAGTAATTCTCAGCTTCTGTTCTCAGTAATCTATGGAGAGCTCAGTGTGATTGCAATCCATGCCTGAGCACAGAACTCTCTATAGATCACTGAGCACAGGAGCTGGGATCACTGTGATCTGGTTGGAAGAGCGGATGATGTAAGAGTGTCCAGGGAACACTTGCTTTGAACCCAGTGTGATTGCAGACAAGCTGGGGAATGGGGGCAAACAAACTCGGGTATGATTCAGTTCAACCATGTTCAACCAAGTTTTCATAGTTTCACAATATTTGTGTGTGCCTACATTTGCAGAACCATCTCCCACTGGTACAGTGAAAATAAAATTATAAAATAACATACCAATTACAAAGAGACAATTAAATTTACATTCTAAATATTGCAAAATATTAATATTTGTAACTTTCATTAAATAAGGCATAATTTTTAGTGAATTGACTACTTTTGATATGAATACCATGTGAGTTATTTCAGGCAAAATTCCAGGTGTTATTTATCTCCTAGTGAATTGACCCCATAGACTGTTATTGTTGCTAAATTTGATTTAATTATTGAGTAA